AGAAAAGTATAATTGATAGAAGGTCATTCAAAGGAGTAGATTGTGACACTGACCATTATCTGGTAGTTGAAAAGTTAGGGAGAGACCTTCAGTAAGTAAATGAACTAAGAAAAATTTTGACACAGAAAGATTTGATTTAAAAAAATAAATGATTGAAACGTAATGGAGAAATTACAAGTTGAAATTTCGAATAGGTTTCGAATTTTAGAGAGAGATAAAGATAATGAATGCATGGACATGAACAGGGAGTGGGAAAATGTCAGAATCTACATCAAAATTTCAGCCAAAAAGAAACTAGGATACTACTCTTGAAAGCAAAACATACCACGGTTTGATGAAGCGTGTTCAGAATTAATAGATAGACGGAAGCTAACAAAACTTCAATGGTTGCAGGACCCAAACAAAACAAATACGGATAATGTATGTAAAGTGAGTCGCGAAGCTTTTACAACCTTTGATGGGCAAAATTGTTGAGTTTGAAATAAATATTAAGGAAAGAATATCAAAGGCAGATACAGGTATGGAGAAAACTGCAAAATTTTGAGCTTAGAAATCTGTATTGGTCCCCCAATTTTGTTAGCGTGATTATGTCAAGAAGAATGAGATGGGCTGGTCATATAGCATGCATGGATGGGGCAAGTGGAGTAAAACGGGTAATGGTCGGGAAGCCTGAAGAGAGGAAACCGCTGGGGAGACCTACACATACTTGGGAGGATAATTTCAAGCAGAATCTATGGGAGATAGGAGTTGAAGGTGATTGGATTTTGCTGGCCCTGGACAAGGTCTGGTAGATAAGTTTGGTTAGTTCGGTGATAAACCTTCGGGTTGCTTAAGCCCACTAGGTAGTTAGTTAGTTACGCTCCATGACTTTCAGTTTGTTCGTCTCTAAATCATGCCTTTCTTATCGACATTTTCACTAACATTCGTCCCAATTGACAGAGTTCGTTATTCCGAATTGCCTCCGCGGCCAAACGGCCGGTATCTTGAAGTTCTGATAACTATTCTCCATAATCATAATGTGCATAGCCAACCTTAGAAAGTGATAGGTCTCGTGGCTGGTCACACGTTGACTCCGGAGGTAATTAGAAATTACCATTCACTAACTTACTTACTTTGTTTTATATCATGTCAGTGGTATCTGCCTGTTCTTCATTGCAGGGGAGCGCTTTCCTTAAAGCAATACCATCCAATGCAGCTGGCTTCTTTGATGTATACAGACAAATGCTCAGATCGGTAAGTTTGAGGCCGTCATATAAAATACAATGTATCTGCATTACAGTCACCATTTTATAGTTATTTTTTACTGTCTTCTTATCTTCATGCCCATCACTAAATAGCAAGAATAATTTTAAATAAGATCCCAAGAATTCCTACTTGAAGACTTCACGGAGCAGAGTCTTTCTGAATTCAACAATCGTTTGTGTAGTACACTCCCAGGTCTTGATGAAACCCAAAAATTTATCATTGATGTTCACAACAGCCATTCAATGGACCCTCTCCCGGGCCGTATGATCCCAGTCTAAATTATAACACTCTAAATATTATTGAATGTATGGTGTATATACAGTGCAGCAACTGGAAAACTGGACTGATGCTGGAAAAAAATTATGGTTCCATGTATGAGCAATCTGAGCATTGTTTATTCAAAGTAGCTTTCTCCTGCATCTACACACTGAAGGTCATCATACATTGCTGTCATTTGAGAACGTAGTGTGAGCTGAAGTAGACGTCTCTCTTGTGTGTGTGTTGTGAAGCAAGAATGGAACAAAGAGCGAACATCAAATTTTGTGTTCGGCTGGGCAAAAGTGCCACGGAAACGTTTCGAATGATGAAGCAAGTGTACGGAGATAATTGTCTGTCTCGTACACGTGGTTTTGAGTGGCATAACCGTTTCTGCCATGGAAGAGAATCATTGGAAGACGATGAACATCCTGGCCCAGCACAAACGATTTGAACACCAGAGTTGATTGAAAAGGTGCGGGAAATAATCACCAACAACCGATGTGCAACGCTTAGAATGATTTCAGAAGATCTGTGCGTTAATAAGGAAACCATTCGACAAATAATAACTCAGGATTTTAAAAAAAAGTAAGGTCTGTGAACGGTTTGTTCCACATTCATTAACAGACGATCAACCACAGCTCGTGAGTTGAACACTGCAGGGAACTCATTGATGCCACTGAAAACAAACCCAACTTCCTGAATTCGATCGTTACGGGTGACGAGACGTGGTGTTTCCAGTACGACCCCGAAACAAAGCTACAAATTGCGGAGTAGAAGTCAGCAAACTCTCCCCGAGCCAAGAAAGATCAAAAATCAAAACAATGATTATCATTTTCTACGACAGCGAGGGAATTGTGCACAAAGAGTTCATACCCAGTGGCGAGACAGTTACTGCTGCCTACTATCTTGACATTTTGAAACGTTTGCTTCAGAAAATCCGTCGTGTACGGCCTCAGTATCGAGAAGATTGCAGTTGGTTCCTGTTGCAAGACAAAGCGCCAAGCCATAAGGCTCTCATTGTTAGGGAGTTTTTGGTCACCAAAAAAGTCTGTGTAATATCGCATCCACCATATTCACCAGACTTAGCACTGTGTGACTTATTTTTGTTTCCAAAACTCAAATCACCACTGAAAGGCTGTTGTTTTGATGACGTGGACACCATTCAAAGGGCTGTAACGAGAGTATTGAACATAATTCCAGACACGGCCATCCGCCATTCCTCCCAGTTGCTTCATGGTCGTTGTGTGCTACTTTGAATAAACAATACTCAGATTGCTCATACATGGAACCATTATTTTTTTCCAGCATCAGTCCCGTTTTCCAGTTGCCGCACTGTGTATTATTATTATTTCCAGTTCTAATAATTAGGTCTCCCAGATTGTCTCTTCCCTCCTTATAAAACAAATATAACTTTTTTCTAATAGTCACACTTCTTATAGCCTGTAATTCAACTAAAAATAATGTAATAGATCGATACACACGAACGTACTTATATATTCCAAGCGTGACAACATAAATTTGTTAATTTCTTTTAAATGTTCAATGAATATGTTAGTATATTACATGGACCCAACAAGTACATTTTCCGAACAGAATACTTCACATTTTAAATTTGCTTTTCACATTCTAAATCTAAGTCGCAATAACATAAAAAGCATGACAGCAACTACAAGAGACTTTTCAAGAGACAACTTACACAGTAGGAACTATTCGACATACACATACAAATTTGTTCATCTGGAGACTGTTGACAGGAAACTGAAGGCCCCGAATATTGCGGAATTGGTCGTCTCTTTTGTCTTCCTCGGAGTACTCTACAGGCCACATTTTGTACAAACATATCTTGACTAGCACACGTGAAAGCTTCAATGTCCTATGGCGGCGCGTAAACGGAAAGGTAATGAAACAGGAATCTTAAAACAAACATGTGAATTTTACTAGTATGGTTTCAACAATTTGCATGAAGGGAATGCTTTTATTGTTTTTCTTAATCGTGTACTTTAGTTACACAATTAGGATTCCACTGCACGATTAATAATTACAGACATCAATCTGTGGCTGTAAATAATTCATTTAAATTCAATAAAATTAATTTATTTACGTGTTTGTCAACAGCAAGAAGCCAATAACAGGCAAAAACTGATAATACATACAATAATAATAAAATAATAATGAAAAATACTATACAAACAGATTAACTAAACTTATACATGTACGGTATTAAATATAACAGCTAAGTACAGGAAAATCCAAAATAGAAACAATATTAACACAAGGCAAAATTGACGAATAAATATAAATAAAAACAAATAATCCACCTAGGGAACACTAATATAATTGTAAAACGTTAAAAAAATATAAAAAAAAACAGATAACGAAGCTAGATCATCTATAAAGACAACCTATCTAGATCATTTCCCTTATTGAGAACGTGCCCTCAAGGGAGACAATGTTAATGCTAAATACGTCCAAAGATTTAAATACGGCATTTGCAGCGATGACGCACCTGGCTGAAGGACTATGTCTTAGTGCACTGCTCACACTAAAAGTAGAAAATTCTCTTATTTGCCTCGCCGGCACACGTAAACCAGCAGCGTCCATAATGGAATGGCAATTTATTTTGCCCTTAAAGACATTAATAAGAAATAACGCATCGAGATGTCGTCTGGAATAAAGTGTTCTAAACTTTAAAGTAGATAGGATCAATTCATATTTGCGTGGGATATTAAACTGAAAAAATCGGTAATTGCACAAACTGGCAAATTTTCTTTGAATATTTTCTAATTTATTAGAATTTGTCTGTGTAAGATTATTCCAAACGACCGAGGCATATTCAAACTTTGACCTAATTAAAGCATTATATAAAACAATAAGGCTGTCTAAAGAGGAAAAATTATAAGCAATAAAAAGAATAAGTTCTAAGGTCCTTAGTGCCTGGGAATGAACACAATTTACATGACAGTGAAAATACAGTTTACTGTATAACAAAACACCAAGATCATTTATACAATTAGTACGCAAGATTAAAAAGTCACTAACAATGTAATTAAAATGGATACTGTTGGTTATACGTGTGAACGATATAATTCTGGTTTTCTCAATGTTAAGTTCCATATTGTTATCATTACACCACTCATGTACGGAATCGAGCTCTGCAGTCATCCACAGATTTAATAACACAATATAGTTTCAAATCATCAGCAAATAAGAGAAATTTTGAATACTTAATTTTGTCGCAAAGGTCGTTAATAAAAATATTGAATGAGAGAGGTCCCAAGGTAGAGCCTTGTGGATAACACCGAGTAAAAAGAAGAAGACTGTCCTAAAATAATAATGGCAATAATAATAATAATTTAATTCACTAATTTGTTAAAGTGCATAAACGCAGTAATAAAACGAATTACATTCAAGCACTAAAAGGAGACTCGACACGAAAAATTAATATTCACACAGCAAAATCTCAGTGAGAACAACGTATGAATATAATATTGCCCAAATTTATTTTAAAATACAACATTTATTGTAAAGATTCTCTATTAAAATTCACATTTTATTCGGTTCGGCCTCTCCCATTTTCATCTGCAGCAAGACAATGAGGTATGTAAGCATTGCGGACGCATGCTGGAACACAAGAATACAATTTGGTGCATGAGATTAATAGACGTATATGTCAGTCTGATTCAGTTTGAGAAAGAAACATACGGGCACAGACAGAGATAATATTAGATCAAACAAATAATTTTAAATTTAGAGAACTAATTTTCAAATGTGCGATAGTATGTTGCAAAAATATGATTTAGTATTGCCTTACCAGTCACACAGATAACCCCCCTTCCACCACACACACATGCACACGAACTCACGCACGCACCTGTGCTAGTTTGGATGACTAGAGTTATAATAAGTTTTCTCCCCTGTATTGATCTATCCTGAAAATTGAGACGATACGCTCTTTCAGCGCGATGTTAACAAACTACAAGTCTATAGATCGTCACAACAAAGACGGTCGTAGTTTGCATATGCATATATGACGTTACAGTAATACACTTTTTCTCTTGTCAAATATACACTAGATTATTAAAATTATAATATGTTATTGTGTTGTAAGTAGTCACATACTCACCGAAGCGAACAATTTCACCGAAGCGAACAATCTTCTGTTTATGTTCGCAAAACCCAGCACTGATATCACTGGAGGATTCATCGATATCGTTCCCAGAAAGTTGTTTACCTAGAACAATATATCATGGATTATTACGAAAGATCTATTCATCTTACAAAGTTTTATTACGATGTAAAAATTCATTATTCCTCCTGTGTAAATCTTTGGGAAATTTTTTTTCGTAAAAGTACAGGATTGTGTATCTGGATAAGAACTACAAGGAAGATTGTGCTCCAAATATTGGTTCATAACCAGTTCCTTCAAATACAGATTATGTATTTTAATACCATCTCGATAAAACACAACATACAAACATTGTTTATGTCTCGTTCACAGCTGATCTAACAAGAACGGGATATTTGGACTGAGACCGAAATGTAGTCTACCTGAACTCAGTTACTTGGAAGAGTAAATATTATTAGAGTGGTGATGAGTAAGCTTGTTTACTTCTGATTTTATGCTTCTCTACAAAAGAAATTGTAAGCTTTATCCATAAATAATGTAACCCAATGCGTTAATTTCTCTGACTGGTGCTATGTCAAAGAAATACGAAAATAATTTTTCTTCTAATTAGGCAAACGAATAAATTGCTGTAAATGTTGTAAATTGAAGAGAAGTTTAAACACACACTCCAGCTTCTTAAAGAATGTAGTTGGTGGATTTTTCCACAGGCTGGATTGTTTTGCCAACCTCATTCTTGTATATTTATAGCTTTTCCCCCATTGTCAATGAGCCAACTGACCTAATAAGCATATCAGTTGTCGAAATATCGACATACAACAAGTAAATATAAGAAAGAATAGATTCTTCGTGTTACGGTAGGGCATTTTGATGGAATACGCCTGGAAGTCTAAGAAAAATGACAAATGGAACCTGTTGCGCTTTCCCCAAAATGTTACTAACCGTTTTCAACGTACTAATGAGTTAAGTCACTGAATGGAACACATCGTCTAATCTTTCTCGTCATTTTAAACTAACTGAATATTGGCTGTAGTACAAGATCATCACAGTAGTTGGAGCATCCGATATTCTGGTATATTCCAACTGTGGTAGTGAATAAAATTCAAAAATCTAATTTCATATTCATCTAGCCTATTAACCACCAATGGACATTAATTTAGGCGCCACATATCACATTTTAATTGCCTCTGTCAATACTTTTAATACCTGCAATTTAATGTTTCTTGTGAGTCTCAACATCTTGAAGAGAAAATGGATTTTGACTTCATTAACAATCCTTATCGAATGGCTTATTTAAACGCAATTCAGGACAAAAATGGAAAATAACCCATAAAACGTGTGACTGCTGTTTCTCAGAGCACGATACATTACAAATAAATTGCAAAACTGACCTCAAATATGAATTTTGCCTCTCATCGACTTATAAGCGTCACTGTACGAAGAAAATTATTACTTAGGTTTTCAGTTTAGTAGCGACAAAATCTGTCACGTGATTTACTACTTTACTATAGAATGTAGTTATAATGCTCATTATACGTTTCATTTTGTTCTATAAGCCGGTTAAAGAAAGAGTCCATGAATTGACTCCTGTAAATTAAACAATAAGCTAGACTTTGCTTAAGGCAATTCAAGGAATGGTCATGTCTGTTAGAAAGAGAGGTGTTTGCACTCTTAATAGAATGACAAATTTATCACTGCTGAGATACTGAATGTAATTCCTATAATCTTGAAATTGCGACACCATTTTATGCTTACCGATAGTAAAGAAAGTTGTCCATGAGAAAGAAACTTCTTATCGACGAAAACTAATATACAAACTTATACGCTCCAAAAACACAAACCTGAATTAACGAAAATGCTTTGAATCATTAAATTTCTGCACTACTTTCCAGCATCCTTCGATAATTCGTACTCCATGCATATACTGACCTCCTGCTGTATGTCCTGCCTTCTGCACCATGTTGTGATATGATGTAACTCCTTCTGAACATTTGTTTCGACCTGCAGTAACAAACAAAGTTGTAAGTATTTGGGACGTAATGAAATTTTGGCTTTTATTTCAATTAAAATTGACATATGGCCGACGATTGCCATTTCACTTTAGATCTTGTGAGTGTGTACGTGTTGATGTGGGGGTGTTGTCACCGCCATCTATTTTTGACAGTGACGACTTCATACAAGGAAAAGTTCATCCATGGATTTCTTTAACTTGTAAATATTTTAGCTGAGCTTGATCTAACTTACAGTTGTCATAATGTAGTCCGCCTTACTGCAAATACAGTATAAAGGAGCTACAAACAGAAGTCCGACCACGCCAATAGCAGTCATCGTCACGTTTCTGCTGGAGTGACCATCGCTGATCCCAAACAGGAGTCCGTACAAGCACATGACGAGGCCAAAGAGAATAAATGAGACGTGCAGAGCTAACAGAGTTTCCGTCGCAACTCCTGCAACAAAACAAGACATTTCTTTGTATTTATACCTTGCGCCTTTTATGCGGTTACAGCTACAGCAGATTACTAGTTGATTTCTGTCTTCTGGGTT